AAATCGATTTGCCGCTGGTCAAACAATATGATCAGTCCGGATTTAGATGGAGCGAAGCGAATGATGTGAAGCTGTGCATATTTCCAAATCGACCGGATCGAAAATGACACCAACGCTTGTTGTTATTGACTGTGAGCATCCTTAAGATGTGATGGTATTAAATGAGACAAGCACGGGAACCGGTAAGAAAAATATTATGGCGGCAGCATGCAGTGGGATTAGGCAGGCGAAATCGATGTTAAAATATTTTGGCTATTCGCCATTGATCCTTTTTAAACGAAGCCATTGAAAAATTACCAGCAATCTAACTGGAAGTTTTCTTCCAGTAGTGCTCTTAACTAAGATGCACGAGACACCCGATCTCGATCGACGGGAAGACCCTTGTAGTAACTGGGGGTCTAACATTGCAAATAGAGTGCGCAAAGCAAAGACCACAGTAGCGTTTTTCGGACGGAACTGATGGTAATCGACAGGGCCACAAGACTAATAAGATGCGATATCTAAGAACTGATATTTGCATCTTCACGGACAGCCAGGCGCCAATCAAATCCCCAACGAAGCAGTCGACAACCTCCATGGCTGCTGATTCATTTCGCCTCAATTGTGATATGGGCTCCGAGACATTGAGACATGGAGGGAAATTGTGAGGCCGATGAACTGGGGCGACTTGACACCAAACTTGCTATTAAGAACAAAAGATGAAATAGCAATACCCATACAAACTTGCAAGATACTTATTTCCGAGAAGCCTACTAAAGTATATATACATATGGCATGACGAAGTCACTTGCAAATTTGCCAAAAAATTTTAGCCGGTGCTCACCGCTAAACGCACTGGCTTACTACTGCGCCAAACTAAGCGTAATATCAGTTTGTTAGTATCTGTTATAACAGGACACTTCCTCATTGGCAAGCATGCCTATCGACTAGGAGAACGATTACATTACTTTTGTCCAATTTGACAAATTCTCTGACTTCTGTGATGTCACTGGCTCGATACGCTCGTATGTCCGCTCCCCGTTCACTTCTGCTAGTGCTGCCTCCGACTTCCGCGTTGTAACTTGCGCCCGATTAACTGTCTGCTCTGGTTCGTGCTTCCTATCGATAGCCACCTGCAGGTCGGCACGCTCGATCCTCGATACACACCACTCTAGCTTGGTTATAGCCTTGGACCCGGCCGAGGGCTTTGCACCTTTTGCAAATTCTCCCATCAACTTATCGACATCTTCCAACTTCGACTCGACTGCGGACCTATTTTCCTCGAAACTAAAGAGGTAATGCTGGAAGAGATCCACCAACCCACTTCACTCTAGCAGCCTTGATGCACGCAACGATTCAGAAGTGTCTCTAACGCCGCATTGGGTGTCGAACATAATTCTCAAACTCTTTTATAATATCTACCAAATTCCAACGAACTGTAGTGTTGTAAAGTCATCCCAAAAACTATACTCTACCAATCGATTGAAGCTTAAAATCGAAATAAACCTTTTAGAAAGTGAATTAAGAGTTCATTTAATTTTTCCCCCACAGTAGCAAGAAAATCCCTCACTGTACCCATCGACATGCCAACTAATCTGCCACAACAACATTGAATGCCGCGCCTCGATCACCCCGCTTATCGGTCGTTAAGATCTCTTGACTTTCGTAGAAGACGCTGAACTGCGCACGCACAGTAACCCACAAATCGGGCAGCATTTGCAATAGTAACAGCAACACAACAGCTGCTGGCAACATGGTCATGTTGCTACAAATACAATATTATAGTGTTCGTCACCGTTGCTCGTTGTTACCGATGTCGGCGCAAGGCATATTTGCTGCAGTTAACGCGCCATTGGCGTCATGTGCGCCGGGCGTGTTGCCAATAAGCTGTTGCAAGTAGCTGACACAAGGCAAAAACAAAAGCAACTAAGATACAACAAAATTAACAAAAAAAATAAACAGCCGCAGCAGCACAACCGTACCATAAGTGCCAGTGCCAAGCGGCAGACCGCGTTGATTGCGCTTATCTTTGCAACGCGATCGTGATCTGAACGCATGCAAGGCGGATCGGCGCGTCGACACACGGCAGCCAGCAGCCAGCAGCCGACAAGGCAGAGACGAATGAAATGCGCGACAAAAGAGTATGAAATTGTGTTACACTATTTTAAGTTCTTCATTTGATTGGTCGCATGTTTGGCATGCCACAGACAGCAACGCCGACATGTGGCTGGGGTAGCAGCAGCATCCGCTGGTCGGTATGTGCGTGGCATGCAGGTGAAAATTGCATCGTTGCTGCTGCTGCTGCTGCAGCTGTCCGCTATACCGTGAGCACCGATTTCGGTGTTGCACGTTTGCGTTGCAACTTTCAAGTGCGTGCTTTTCGCGCTGATTTTCTATTGCGGATATCGGTAGCCGTTCCATTGGGTAGATGCTAACAGAGAAGGCGAAATAGTGGTCAGTGCAGATGGATTTGCCTATGAAATGGATTGTCTTCTATTTAACTTAAGATCCCTTTGACTAATAGATTCTAGGAGCTTAAAGCACAACGAAATTTAAGCTATGTTACTTAGACGCTAGGAATGTTCAGTCAACCATCCGCAGATGGATAGCTAGGCTCTTGCAAATCAGTATTAATGAAACCGAAGTGTAGCGTATTTCAACAACGAACGACAAAAGGATGCTCTGAAGGAGAGGTCTTATCTCCTTTCCTGCGGAACTTAGTTGTGGACTAACTCCTACAAATACTCACGGATAAGGCCGTTCACTGTCGAGGATACGCTGATGACATAGTGATTATCTCCAGAGGGAAGTACCCTCTCCTACATCGTTCAAAGCGAATTTAACCTAGCAGAAAGCTGGTATGCGGATGCAGGTTTAAATATTACTCTTAGAAGCCGTCGTCCGTTCACCAGAAAAAAGAACTGTAAAGGGTATAGGGAACTTTCAAGAAGGAGTCGCAATCGGCGTCGGCAAAGAAGTGAAATACATATCTGGGACTTATCCTGTGCACCAAAGTCCAGTGGAAGAGCGCATCTTGATGCGCCCACCTCCAAGGCTACAAGGGCGTTGATGGCGTGCAAACGTCTAGCGGTCAAATCCTAGCGGTGCGCTCCAAGGATCCTAATATGAATGTAAACCATAATAGTGCGAACAATGGTAAGCTATTAGGCAGTGGCTTGGGCTTCCGGGACCACTCACAAATAATCAACGTCGTAGTGCTTTCACTACGAAGGCAATTCGCACATGGCCGACGACACTACTGGAAGTAATTCTGCATCTTACTGTTGAAAAGGCTGGAAATCGAGCTCTCTTCAATTACGCGAGAAAGAAATTTCGGCAGAAATAAGATCTTATCATCTTTGAACAGGGACAAGCTAGGTTCCCACGCTCCCATTAGTGCGGCTCGACAGAGATGATATGTAGAGAGTAGCAGTTTTCGAAAGAAACTTTAAGGTTAACACATACAGCAAGGTGATCTGGATTACCTCTATTATGGAGAGACACGTCGAGGCGAGCATGCTACAGTGGTACACAAACGGCTCTAAGACTTCTTAGGGTATTGGAGCAGGTTCCCCTGGAAAACTTTCAAAGCATCTTACAAGCGGAAGTCTATGCCATCAGTATGTGTGCAGAGATCGCCTTCGCAGTGAGAGAATCCAAATTTTATGTAATAAATCAAGGCTCTTATCCTTCGAGGTCAAACCCTCAAGTGCCCAAGAGTGGTGATACGGGCACCAGGGCACGATGAAGCTGCCTCGCCCTCGATAGGGCCTGAGCCCTTCCTATCATTAGGTCCCAACATGATAAAGGTAGCGATCAGAAAGGAAAATATGAAACTAAGGGAACTACACTGGCATTGCACCACGGGTCTTCGTCAACCTAAATGCTTACTAGGAGGGTACAATCCAACAAGACACAGTCTACTCATGTGCGCGAGGCCCAAGAGAAACTAAGAATCATTACAGGCATTTAATGGGCCATTGTAGGCTTTGAAGTCATTTGCATAAGCTAAGAATCTGGTCAAGCGACATACATATGCCGCTTCTATGACTCTGCCAAGGAGACATCATTACACCTTCTGCGGGAGTGCGAGGCCGTTTCCTGGAGAATGGAGATGAGCATAGATCATCTATGACCCAGAGGGGAGCACATACACTCTCTACCGTCGGGATCTGTTTTAAAATTTATAGAGTTTGTAGGTCTAGCTGAGGTGTTGTGATGAGCTGAGGGCTGTATTTTGAACGCTGGTGTTAGCAATCTTCGATCAACCCGAAGAAGCGCGACGGTTTGGGATGGCACCTCTTCGGACCAGAAAAAATGCGTGAGCTATTTTATGCGACAGTCCACACCAGGGGAAAGTGCTAAACGTCGCTTGACCTGAAGACTGTACCAGTGATGAAATTGGAATGGCCATTGAGAAAATGATAGGAACGGAAGTATAATACCTCACCAAGATCGTCAATTTTTCCGTGAACACTAGCATCATTCCTGATATGTAGAGGGCACAAAACCCCTACAGCACTTAATGCCATAAACACACAGTTGGCTAGTGGACTTAACCGGAACTGGGATCATGTGAGATCGTCAAGGAGCATTAAGCAATGCTCTGTAAGCAGTTCCTAGTAGGTTGTCACAGACGAACAGAAACCTGCTTGCAGCAGAGCCCTCGCCAAGGCACGTCAGGAGGCATCTATACTAAATGACGGACGAAGTTCAGAGGTTCATAAAATAACTTTTGGATCCGACAGCATACCGACAGGCCATAAACGGCATTCACAGGGAGTCGGCCTCGACTTGCATTTACTCTCGACCTGTGAATGCCGTTTTGGGAACGCAACCACCTGACTTGGTTGCCCCGGCAGACTCGCACTACAAGGGTAATTATGTCGATATGTCGTTAGATACCGTAATAACGAGTTGATTTATAAGTATGTGTATATTATTAGTTTATTTTAAGAAATCTTTTTAAATCATCTTTTAGTACTCGTACTCGATTTTTTATTTTGTTATTATAACATTAGTCTGGTATCCCTCTTAATGGTAAACATGCAGTCCGGCAACATTAAAATCCAGCTGACTCAGGGTTGTTATCTCGCGATCAGCTGTTCCACAAAAATAAACAATTGGAAATTGGAGACAAAACATTGGAGAGATGCACAAAGTCAAAAGGAACGCATGGAAGACTGGACAAAAATCGCTGAATATTTGCCAAAATATGAAGAAATTAAAAACATTTTACAAAGTGAACCAGAAGCGGATTACATAATCCGGGAGGCAGCAGCAGATGTTGGAAAAACAAATGAAGAACGCGAGTTTAACGATGAAATATTCTACCTTGTTTCCAGCTTAGCCGACAAATTTTGGGAACGCATACACACAGGTCACTTCAGTGCAGTGCCAATAGAAGTGCGAAAAATTTATGCGCTGGCTTGTTATTATAAAGTGAGTTGCGAAATCTAATTTAAAACTTTGTATATTATAAATATTTAAAAGATATACTATCTGTTTTGTGAAAGTTTATCGAAAACGCAGTTATTGCGTTGCTCCGAGATACTCGATGAAGCCATACTTATTGGATGCACACAATCATTATATAAAGGCAGTGACCAATTTCAAACCCAACTGACTAGCTATATTAGCAAAGTTTCAGGTAAGAAAACAAAGCCAAAAAACTTTAATTAAACAAAAATGAATGCACATATATATACATATCTCCTATTAGAGGACAATGCAGAGAGGTATCTGCCAATCATAGCTGAGCTTGAGCGTCAACAATATAAATGTGATATACCCGTCTTGGATTGTCCCTCAGTTGAGAACTTTCACAAAATATGTTTCAATTCCGAGCAACCAGCGCTGCTGCTCAACACAATTGCACATTGGCCTGCTATGCATAAATGGCGGGATCTTAACTATCTACATAAACTAGCCGGTAATCGAACAGTACCAATTGAAATCGGTGCCAACTACACGACAGATGAATGGTCACAGCAGCTAGTCAAAATACGCGATTTCCTGCGCAGACAATTCGTGCAAAGCAACACACAAATTGAATATTTGGCACAACATGAACTGTTCGATCAAATACCGGCACTTAAAACCGACATACGCATACCCGACTACTGTATTTTGCACTCCAGCGGTAATAGCTCCGATCCTGAAAAGGTTTCAATTAAAGCTTGGTTGGGACCTAAAAATACCATATCACCACTACATTATGATCCCGAACACAATTTGCTCTGTCAAGTGTTTGGCCGAAAGCAGGTCATATTAGCAGCACCGACTGATACTGCAAAGTTGTATCCTCATGATTCCGAAATGCTTTGTAATACCTCAAAATTGGATGCAACTCGGTTGGACTTAGAGCGATTTCCGTTAGCAGCAGAGGTTGCGTTTTATAATGTAACTTTACAGGTAGGCGATTGCCTTTACATACCACCAAAGTGGTGGCATTATGTACGTGCCGAGAGTGAAAGTTTCTCTGTAAGCTTTTGGTGGTCATAATTTTGTATAAATATGTTAAATTAGAATGTGATTAAACAACAAATGCTGAATAAGTTCAATATTTTGAATATCAATGTTGAGAAGTCATATAATGACTTTGTCTGTGCAATGATAACGGTATATGATCGTTATCACATAACCTAGTGCGCTTAAATTAATTTTTTAATTGTGACTCGGCGCATTGGTAGCCCTTGGACAGCGCAAATATAGAGATAATGAATTCTAAGCTGAAAACAACGTAAAATTTTATTTATAAACAGGTTTTTACTTGAATACATTCTGCTAGACAAGTATTCGTTCATATGCATGCAAACAATGGCTGATGTGTACTAAAATAGAAAACAAAAGAAATCAATGAGTCATCGTCCAAATCATCTCAGCTGGTTTCAAAGGTACAAGTACAAGTCATAATAAATATATAGCAAAATGGGGGTTTATGATTCTTCCACGTTTGATTATACAATAATTATGATAGCGTAGTAAAGTTGATCCCAATTATAAGCAATGGGTTTTCTGAGGCAGAAAATAACTCCAAAATTTATTTATAATTCACAATTTATTCATACAAAAAGAAATAAGTTATTACAAGAAAAATTTGTATTAACCAACATGTTTAAAAATGCTTAAGTAAGCTACAAAGTAATATAAAGAAATACTACATTATGCTCTTCTAGAAAATTATTTTTTTAAGAACATAGAAGTATAATATGTTATGTATAAGTTTAAAACTTTGTATCATAAATCTAATTCGCTCAACGCTCCATCGCAATTTAATCTTTCCATAACGATTCATATAATAAGTCTCCAATTTTATATCAGACGATAAGCTGTTTATTAGTTACCGCCATATTGAGTAGCAGGTTAATTTTAGAAAAGGGTTAAAGTGCATATTATTCATCTTTCTAAGAAAGGAATTAATATTATATTAAACAGGGTGTGTTATTAATCGTCTTTTTCGCCACCCTTTCCACTATGGTCGCTGATAATGATCTTCTTTTGCAACTTGCTATACTCTTCAGTCAGTCTGTCGTATTCTTTGTTCAAACTTTCAGCTTGAGATTTCAATGCTTCCTTATCTTTCTTTTCGCGGTTCAGGTCAGATGTAAGCTCTTGCACTTTCTTACGCAGTTCATTGAGCTGAAAGTGATACATATTTTTAAAAGAGTTCTTTTTATTCTAGAGCTACGCCATTAAAGAATTTCTTAAGGTTCTGGAATCTACTGATTAAATGTAGTTTATAGAATCAACACTGCTCTTTAACTCAGGCTGGCACTGAGTCCTTGTACACGTCTCCGCAAATTTAAAATCTGTGCAAGTTAGCCCGAAAGAGTAAACGGAGAAAGGATCATTCTAGATAAGTTTCGTGAAAATCAGAAATAAGTATGCGAGGCCATTTTTACAAGCGTTATTAAGCTATACTTTATTATATTGGAAAATACTTTTCGAGATTATTAGTTTATGCTCAAAGCATACTTTCCATGGCGCAGTTATCAATATATTCAAGCAAGCAAATTTCCAAAAGATTTTTGAACCATAACTGAGTAAATGTTAAAAACAAAAATCATTACTCAGCAAAAACTGACGAAAGAAGTGTGGAACCACACCTTTCGGTACAAGAACTCATTTTATACAGCCGCAAGCCAAAACGAATATATCTAATCGATAGTAACAACATGTACATGAGAATCTATTAACTTACCTCATTCAATGTCTTGTCCTCAGTGGCTTCCTTTCCTTTCTCAGTACTCTTTTCAGCCATCAAGGTGCGCGCTGCTGCTGTGGCGCTTTGTGCTTGTTTCATTGAAGCTTCACTCTGTGCCAAAAGATTTGCCTGTGCCGAAATCAATGTAACCAAACGCCTTATGACCAATACAAGAAATATGGCGAATCCAGATATGTAGAAATTGCGTTGAGCCCGGAACAGTCGCATGCTGTGTTGCATTTCAACGTTCAAGTGTTCATGACCGCCAGCTTCATGTGTCGAGTATTTCCTCATTTCACGTATGGCATCCAAGAGGAATAATATCAGCACACCCATTATAAGAAAGAAATATAGGTGTGCCTGTTGGGCCAACATCGCCAAGAATTTGGATTTGAAAAGACGATTCCATTTGTACGGGCTTGCTATGGGTAGAACCAACAAGAGTACTACGGCAATTTCCGCGTACAAAAAGGAGGCAATCAAAGTCCAGACGAGACTCATTTTGATGCAATATACTTTTTTTGGGTTACTGGAGCACTTTCTTTTCAATTGATGAGCTGTAAAACGTTGAAGGGAAGAAAAAACAATAGTGTTTATCCCTTCGCTATAATTTCTGCTTTGTCTAGTTTTGTACTATTTTTAGCTTATTACCCTAGTAATTTCAAATTCTTACTTTTTATAGATTAAAATATTTGTGAAAATTTAGTACTGCGCCGCTGCTTTTACCTCTGCTTTGGGTGAAGTTCAGCCGATGATGTGTTTTTTCAGGTAATTTCGCGAAGAAGATAGCTTTCTCATTTTCTCATAACTCCATAACCGCAAATCTATGAGGGTGAACAGGAGAACTATCTATTTGCCGGCAAAATTTTCACTTGTTCGCTAGAGCCAGGGTTGCACATCAACGAAATATGCAAGATCACGTAGAACGCGACCGTGTATTTGTAATGGCGAAATTAGGCAACGAAGTACGTAGCAACATATAAAATTTACTGTTAAGCGAAGCGCACATTGGCGCGATTCTGTCGTTGCGAATCCGCAAGCCCAAAAATTACAACAATGCTACCCATACATTTTAATGCGCTAGCGCACACTTGCACGTTCCGTCGCTGCGAATTTTTCGAACATTCAATGTTCCTCTTTATTGACGCGTTCGAAACGCGGCTTGCAGCGTTTTGAAGGCGTCAAAGAAGAAGAAGAAAGGTGTCACAGCAATAAAGGCAAAGAAAAAAAACGTGTAATGTACAAAAACTAATAAAAACGTTCGTAATAATAGTATTTTGTACGATTTGGGCACGCCGAGTGCGAAAATACACGAAATAAAGGGAAAATTGAGTGAATTGTACATCGGAAATCGACGCGAAAAAATCGCTCAAGTGTGCGCACGTTTGCGGATTCGAAGTTAACAGCCGAATTCGCAACGTATTCGCAACGATGGAATCGCACTAATGTGCGCTTCGCTTTATGCAGCGTTTTTGCTGCATTTAAAATGCAACATTTAGCAGTTTCGAACATATGTTTTCGAAGAGCGTTCATGCTATCGCATTTAGCAAATGTACATTTAACTGGGAGAGAGAAGCTACGGCAACGTCACCGTCATGCGGTAGAGTTTTCGTTAACACGCAAATCCCATAAGGTAGATCGTGTCAGCGTCCACGTACGTTTACGCCACGTCGTTGACTAATTTCGCCTTAACTGCTTTTAGAAAAAGTTTTTGGAAGCGGTTTTGTCAACCGAGCTTTTGTTTACATCACAAGCACCACTATTTTACACCTTTGTTTAATTAAAAAAAAGAGTTAATTCAAGATGAAAACACGTTATAATACATTCCAATGACAAATTTTATACAAGGTGGAAGCAAGAATACAACAACAACAACCACATGTTTTTTGTATCGCGGGTGTTATTTCAAATCTCTATTCGCCCCAAAGTTTACATGTATTTTGTTTTTGCTTTGATGGGTGCGCTGTCAAATCAGTAAGGCTGCATTTCTTTATTCATTCTGAACGTTTGGAATAAACTTTTTTGTTTACTTATTCTTTAGAACGTTCCTGATGATATGTCAACGTATATTTCAAACGCATTCTGTTTATTCCGGCTGTGAAATGGGATTATCCGGAATGTATAAAGAAACGCAGCCTAAATGTGAAAATAAAATACATGTAAGGCGAAGAAATCAGCTGATCTAACAACACCACATTGCAAGGCGAATTTATACAAGGTGGTGTTCAAGGCGAATTTATACGAGGTGGTGTTGATGGCGAATTTAGATTTTCGCCGCGGTACTTATTAAGGTCAAAATTGTGTTTGTTGTAAACAAGGCGAATTCGTATTACAACAAACACACTATTTTGACATTAAGAAGTACCGCGGCGAAAGTCTCAATTCGCCATCAACACCACCTTGTATAAATTCGCCTTGGCTTTTTATACTTTTCGTTATAAGGCTTTCGCACAAGGCGATTTTTCAGGCAACTTTTATTTGAAAGCAAAAATCGCCTCGACCGGACGGCCTTGCAACTAATCGCTTTCAACAAAGTTGGTCGCCAGCCAACTCTGAGCTCGTTCAACTTTTTTTCCTTGCAACCCTCTGTTTGTTTACATTCTGTATACATACCACCATTTTGAAATTGTATTCTGGCGAGTGGTTTGTTAAAACTTGGTAAAAAAGCACTTTTACCAACGCTTGGCTTACCAAATTTACGCCAATTGATAAAATTTTGCGATTTAAATTCATTTTAAATAATGTAAATAACAATTCGTGTTGAATCGAAAATCGCCTCGTCTGAATAGGGATGGTAACTTTTTCACTTTCAACTTCTCATTCAACTTCGCATTCAACTTTTGTTGCCTGTAAAATCGCCACATGCGAATGCCCTATTAGTTTTCCAGCGAAACAAACAATGTGGCAACATTCACGATAAAATTCTTCAAAACAAAACGTGCGCCGATAGCAACGCTCATTGATCAAATAATTTAAAAGTTCTAAAAAAAATAGCAATCTTCATTATAATCCAATCCTCTCCTATATTTTACGGAGTTCATAGCACAGGCTTATACCGCCTCATACCTATAAAAATCAGCATGTCGTACGAAAATTGGCTCAACTATTTACGGAGCGCTGAAAAGAATTCTATGATCAGTGGTCGATGTCGCAAAGTTTTCTACAAATTCCCTGATGGCCAGCAAATGGCTGAAGAATACAGCATGGATACAGGTATCGTACAGCGAAGAGCATGGCGTAAGTGTAAACAACTTATGGGGGAACCAGAATGGGAAATTGAATTGGGCGAAACACCGCGACAAATTAACCAATGTGCAGGTGGCGGCGATGCAGACAACTCTGCTATCGCTAATGATTTCACCTTAACGGAAAGTAATTCTGCCCCAATGTTAACTAAACGCATCACAAAGAAAAATATAGAGTGGCGTATACGTAATTTGCCATATCCCATTGAGGTTTATCAAGTGAGTGCAGATGCAGAAAAACGGGCAATCATTGTGCGGACCATAAACAAAAAGTATTATAAAGTAATCACTGTCCCCGAACTGGATCGATGCAACTTGCTACCTTCTCAAGAAAACATTTCTACGCACCATCAGTACAACACTTTAATTATAACATATAGTAAGCCAGCATTATTGAATGAAATGGAGGCAGAGGTATTAATATTATTGAAAGAAGTCGAAACGGAAACGGATATGGAGGATTTGCTGCAGGGGCTATTAGCAAAATAAAAACACTTTGTATTGTAATATGTATACTACACTGAAACTTATACATAAATTTATTTAATACACGTACTGCAGTTAATCAATTTTCTGCGCGCATGGAGATCTAATTATATTCAAAAACACCAGCAAATTTATTCTTTATGGAAATTTGCAGTTAATTCAGTCAATGCTGGCGTGGAAGCAGTAAAGGAATGATACTCGAAAGAAGGTAGCTCGAGTGGTGTCAGCGATGGTATCTCGTCGTTCTCGTTTAAATAAAAAGCTGGCTTATCTCCTGCGCTCTTAGCGCGTTCATTTTGTGGCTGTTCAATTGGTGCTGCTATGTCTCTGGCGGCCGTTGCACCTTCCAAACTAGTATTCGAATTTTGTCTAAACTCTTTGCTTTCCCTACTATTTGTGCGCTTAATTGGCGAAAGATTAAGTTTTACATCGAATTCACGTACAGTTTTATCAATTGATTTGGCTACCGACTGCGCATTGAGATTGCTGTCAGCTCTCAACAAGACTACTGGCGTATTTGTAGCTGACAATGGTACGATTTCTTTATGCTTGAGGCGTTCGTGCTGTTGCTTGTGCATTTGTATTTGACACAACTTCCTTTGATATTCCCACTTTTGTGTATTTAACAATTCAACCGATTTGGGCATCAATGCTGCTTTAAACGCATCTTGTAAATAAATTAACGAGGTTTCTACCGCCTTATATGCATCATCATATCGATGGCGTTGGAGAAAGCGATTAGCGCGCCTTTCGTGAAAGTGTGCCTGTAAACATGTTATTTTAATATCAATGTAAACTTTGGGAAGTGATTTTATATCCTTACCAAATTCAGAGGAGCACAGTCCATTATTTGTTCTTTTAAAAAGTAGGAAATCAAAATTTCTCTGATTTCAAGTAAACAAATTCGATAACAGCAATTATTTACGCAGTTGGTAAAAACATCTGATCGCTGCCAGGGTTGCATTAAACTAATGCAGGTGTAAAAAAAGTGCCGGTGAACTCCGAACATTCGGAGTACTTCTAGTACTGCCAAGTTTCTTGCTTTTAAATACAGTAGTCTAGGCTACCCAACCGACGTTAGCACCTCAATTAAATACAAGACCGATGGAATACAAAATTGCGCTGATTGATGTAAAATTTGGGAGCGTAACGTGAATATGACGTAATCGCAGATTTACGGGTGGAGGGAGCTTAGAGAGATCTATCAGGATGTATATTATTATTGCAATCGATAGTTCGTCGATTGTTCTTCATTGTTCGTCCATTTTAAACGTTTGTTCCAAGGCAAATTGGTGTTGTTAATGGCGAATTTAGATTTTCGCCGCGGTACTTAATGTCAAAATGATGTGTTTGTTGTAATATGAATTCGCCTTGTTTACAACAAACACATTTTGACCAAGGCGAATTTATACTATACACAAAAAGTGAGAGTAATCTAAAAAGTGAATTAAAAGTAGGAGACAAATTGATATAGCTAGTGTTTATTGTGCTTGTGCTTATGTGAATGTGTTTTGTACATACATTTCTATTCTTATTTGTCGTTAGTTTTGTTGTTGCCATTCTTTGGACTACAAATTTTGGTTTTTTGCGTTCCTTTACTTTTTCCTGTTATTCTCTTTTAGTGGGCGCATTTCGCTTACGCTCTTGCATTTTGACACTTTTCAGATTTTAGTCCGAAAAGATAAGGAATTAACCTATTATCCGAAAATGTCTTGTCGCTCTCTTTGTCGCACCACTATGTTCTTTGCCTTAGGCGGTTTTTTCGCTCCCCATTTACGATGCGTAAAAGCTCAAACAGACGGCAGCGTTGATCCGGGTTAATTCGGATCAACCGCAGTTAATTCCCCGAGTTGATCCGGATCAACGCTGCCGTCTGTTTATGCTTTAACCTAGAGCAGCTCAATAAACACAACTTTTGTTTGGCACTCAACTTTAAATGTATCTAAATTAAACAGACGCATCAATATGTGGCGTACAGGATAATAAATAATTTACTTGGCGGTCGGCGATTGAGTTGAAGTCATAGATATGTGTGTATTGAATTCATAATACGGGGGTGTGCACTCCTCGGCAATTAAATCTTCCGAAACTGTCGTTGATTCGTCAAATGGCATCGACTCAGTATTGACATTGATATAATCAATTAAATAAGGTCCAGAATTTGTATTTAATTTTTGCACCATCTCTATATATTCTCTGCCTGCAAGCTCTTCGGTATTTTGAGTAGTTGGTAAGGAATTTGGTGGATTCAACCTAAAGTCTGCTGAGTTGAAGTGATTACTTTGACTTAAGGGCGGTATTGGTAAGTCCGAAGGTGTTGATGTAATCTCCGATTCTTCGATTTGTATCGGTTCTTCTTCTACTGTTAGCATTTCCATTTCTTCGCTTTGAATGGTATTATCGTCTTCGACATCTTCTAAATGACTTAAATTGCCCTGTTGTTGTTGTCCATGATTTTGCTCCTGTTGATTTCGATCGTATTCCCAAACCTGTAGACGCATTAAATTTTCTTTTTTTCTTTCACACCATTCCCTTTCACGTTGCTTGCGTATTTCATCATCACTATAGAGGCATTCATTTTTATAGCGATTTACTGCTTTTGCTAAAAGCTTTTCCGTTTTCTCTGGTGTCCAACGTTGTATACGCCCTTGGCGTGTAAACTGGTCAATAAAGTCATGTACTGGATTCCAACGATGCATTAAAACACGACAAGGCAAACGTGTACATAACTCCTTTAGACTTGCTTCATCAATTTGACGCTCGACATCTTCACGTGTGGGAATCTGTAGAAAGGTGATGGAAGTTCAAGTGAATCAAATAATTAAAATCAATGAAGTTGATGTACTCACGAAATCCTCCACAAATTGTTTATATAAACCGGGATTTTCATTTCTTAGTTCTTCAGTTATACCGTACTCGCTCAATACCCTGTCATATGTGAGGTCTTCCAAACGGAATAGCATATTATTTGGATCCATTGGAAATTAAAAAAAAAAAACTATAACAAAGCACACGTTTACAAAATAACAAACGTAAATAAGGTTGCTTTAAAAATGCATTTATATACATCAAAAATGGATTAAAATTGCACGTTGCTGTTCCACAATTTTGCGGGGTTGTTATAGCAATTTCGGACTGAAAAATAATTGCCAAAATGACGATTTAAATCAAAACACTGGTCAAAAACTGAGTACCAAATAAATATTGGAGAATTATACACAAAGCTCGGTTTATTTGGAAACAAAAACTGCGCGCGCTTTTAACAAGCCGCAAACAAATTTTCGATTTTTGGCAACTGTTGGTTCCTTACGTCAATTGCAGAGCAACAGCTGATTTGAAGTGAAATGTCAATACAGACACGGTGGGTGTTTTCGCAAGCACGCCCCTGCAAAATTAAAACAAAAATGTGGACGTCGAAAATTTGTTTGCAGCGAAATAAATTTTGCACAAAATTGTGGACCACGATTGTTTTAACCCAAAAAAGCAAATTTTTTTTGTGTCATTTATTTCATATCCATGAAATTAGTATTTTTAGGAACTATTACTTCATTTTAAACAAAGCTTCATTATACAATCGGCCCTTTTATGGTTGTTGTTGTTGTTATAACATACAAATTCCCCAGAGTTTTTGGGAGTGTTGCTGAAGTGACAGACAGCCTTTGGCCAGATTATAAATCTGGCTCGTAAGTCCAACTCCCGCTACACAACCACTGTATTTTTGCGAAAAGATTTCTCAGAAGAGATTATTTTATTGCAACAGTGCCAATCTATAAAAAAATCATTTTTCATAATTTGATAGCTGGGGTGTTCTGCATACCAGAGATATTTCCTCTAATAAGGCTGTAACGTTTTTAAATGCAGGACTTGCGAATTCAAATTACAAAAAGCAGTGTTGCGGCAGTACTGCGTATGTGTTCAGAAATGCATCTAGCCAAAGCATCTGCTTAATGGAAGGGCCATATTTGCGCAACTAAGTCCCAATTTAGAATTTAACCGTGTTTGCGCATGTTAAATGTTTCCATCAATTCAATAGTTTAGAAATAAGAGACTGGTGCTTTGGCTTGATGCATTTCTGAACACATACGCAGTACTGCCGCAACACTGCTTTTTGTAATGTGAATTCGCAAGCCCTGCATTTAAAAACGTCACAGCCTAATTAGAGGAAATATCTCTGGTATGCTCCGGACTCTGCGATTATTGTTATTGTAGCAAACAAACATTTTTCCAATTCATGAATAGATATACATAAATATTGGTCGTTCCGGTTATCTAAAACAGATTCGTCGCGCGGAAGGCAAACCCCTGGTGTGTATTATGGGTGGCGGTATTTAAGCGTTTTTCGGAAACTTCAGACCAAATTATTTTACGCAAATTCATTGCCAATTTTGGTTAAATTCTAACTTGAAAAAGGACACGCATTTTTTACAGTTTTATCTTTTTATTTATTTACCTTTAATAATTAATTTTAGGTTTGTTCAGTCACTTCAATACTACAAATGCTGACTAATCGAAGTAAATCTAAATGCGTAACTACAATAGTTATAGAAAGTAGCTTAATTAATATCTAATAACCATACGGTTTGAAATATTTATCTTGAAATGGGCAGTCATGAGTGGTTGTTTTTTTCAATAAAAATATACAATTGCTGTTGAGATCTGCAAAAAAATTGAGAAAAAACTCATTAATAAAAAAATACGTTTGGTTAAAATAGTTTGCATGTAATATCAATATCAGAGACAATTTTTAATCAAATAATTTCATAAGTCTAACATATTTGAATCTTCACGAAATTGAAAGTGAAAGTTAAAAATAAAATATAAAAATTACCTTTTAACGAACTCAACTGCTTCCTTAAATTTATAAATTAAATTAGAGCCAATTAAACTGCAAATATAAAAAAAACGTATTGAGAACAGTTTTTTTTAAGTAGATATTAGATAAATGTGTACTGCGCGCATCAGTTAAAAAATTTACACTAATCAAATGATTTCATAGGTGTCCCAAGGTAAATCGTTGCTCATCACTAGTATTCAACAAATATAAATGCCATTTAATTTCTATACTAACCTAATAAACGCCAATTAAAGTATGCATGAGGGATGATCTTCCATAGGGTATACACTTAACTGTAAAAAGGAAAAAAAAAAAAGATTTTTAGTAAATGCTGAGTTTACTTAAAGCAAAGTATAGTATACATAGAAGTTTCGAAAATTTCAGTAAAACAAATTTACACTAATCACAGGCTTTTCATAGGTGTCCCAAGGTAAATCACTAATCATCACGCAAATATTTAAAATTTGCATTTCAAAACTTCTCTATATACGTAATACATTTTGAAGTTAAAATTTAATTTACCGCTAACTAAATTATTAATGATAGGCTTCTGGATTTACAAGTCAGCAGCGCTCACCATCAAACACCTGCAAACAGAAAATAGTTTTATTAGTTCATGGAAAAAAGAAAAATTTAGAACCAAATAAAATTAAAAGGAAAAAATCAGTTCGTAAGTTCGGATTGGTGTAATCATTCGATTTCAGGTTCTAACATATGTGTCTTTAGAACGAGGTCATCATGTCAATTGGAGAAATAAATCATCGAATTGTTAATATTCAAAATAAACTCACCTTAGAAAGCGTAGCGCGTGCGTATATCTTCCAGCTTTTTGCATATCTGATTGGGCGTGCGGAACATATCGCTTGCGATGGTTTTCTGCTTAGCCGGATCAATGGACAAGTACTGCTCGCACAAATCGCCATCCAGCACATTTTTTACAGTATAGTATGAACTTCGGTAGCTTAAATGATCGCGCCCACATAATGGCGGATTTTCATTGCGCATATGCATCTCCAAATGTTGAAAGAAGTCGAAGTCTTCGCGACTAGTAAAAGGCACAAAAGCACCCACAGTTCCGCTGAGAGTCGCATAAATTAATGCTTCGGAGCCACCAGGTATTAAAGTTGCCTTCTGCAGTGACATAATGACTTCACCCACATGGAATGAGGAAATGTTCTCAGACTTTTGTGAGGCACCCGAGAGTAATCCACGGTCCCACAGCGATTTAGTGCCGGTTGGATCTTCGTCTACGTCATCAGTCACAGAGTGTGGTAGCCGCTGTATACTCATGTTGCCGAATTTATCAGCGATTGCAATGGTATCGTAGTCCAGCAATGTGGTGGCGGTCACCCAGCGTGGATGTGTATCGTCAGCGAATATTATAAGCTGATTTTCAGCGCGTTTATAACGTACAAAGAATACAGATTCCTGCACATCGGACACATAAACACGATGTCCCATAGCTTGTATATTAACAATCTGGTATGGAATGTGTTTATTCTCACATTTTCGCAGCATCTTCTTCTTTCCCAAATCGTAGATACGCAAAATACGACCACAGCCAGCCAATAATCGACCTTGAAAACCTGCCAAAGCTCCAGGTATTTCTTCGATTTCAGTGCGATGCATAAACTCTAAATTAGAGCAGGTAGGATCGATCTTGTAAACGTCAATGCAACCACCGTTTGTTATGCGTGGATTCAACTGCAATTCTTTCGCCACACCAACTACCAAATAATAGCGACCATCGGCGGCGATATTAAACTTGAGAACGCACATGGACATGATTGATTCATTTTGGACAAGTGGGATTTTGAATAACGTTTGACCATGAATAGGATCCAAACCACGTATTTGCGAGGCCCACAAACCCAGACCCGCCTTGGGTGACGAAAAAGTTTCCTCAGGCAAAACTTCGCTAATAAATGCATTTGCCATCTCGTTGGCCAACTCGCGTTCCTCATCACCGGCGGCCATGCGCATTTCTTCTGCCATTTGCTGTTTACGTGCATTCTTTGTCTCATCTGTGTAAGCATTGTGATCAGTCTCAGCAATAATCATGCGTCCGGTATCTGGGTGAATAGCAAAAGCGCGTGGCGTGTATTCGAGAGGGAAAGAAACCTGGTTAAATACTGCACCCAATTTTTCCAAGGCCAAAATACGCAACGTATTCGTTGAGATGGCGACGATACCTTCACTACACTGTTCACTAGAGAATCCCGAAGCGTATTCCAGCGTTTCATATGATAAGGGTGTTAGATGGAAACGATTCTGATGATAGTATGAAAGCCAAGTGCGACTAGACATTGCAAGTACGGCTTCAGAGCCTTGCATACGTATGCGAAAGAGCTTCACGGGACGTGAGCCAAGATAACGTGTACGGGAATCGACCAAGTCGCCAGATACTGGATCTAAGACAGTACGCAACAGCACACCATTGCTAAGACCAATATTAAGATAAATTGTACCCTTTGTTGAGGTATTGGTATTGCGTTCGCCTGGCTCCTCATTTGCGGCACTCGTTGTGCTCTCCGTGTGTCCCATTTCGACAATGCAAAGCGATTCGGCAGGTGATGGCAAAGCTTGCATTGAACAGGGTGAAAGACAATCATTTGGATCCAGCGAGATAATGCGTACAGTGTTGTCAGCCAAACCAACAGCCAAAAACCATGACCGCTGCTCGCCCTCTGGCACTTGTCCGAGTGCCATGCACATGATTTCGTTGGGCATTTCTGATCGCTCAGTATATTCGTTGAGTTCACCAGTCTGAAAGTAGGAAAGATCAAGGTTAGTACTGTTTTTACGGAACACTTGAGGGAAACATTTTTTTTTTTTTATTTATAGTCAGCACTGCAGGACACAAAGTGTCTCAACATGATTGTTCTTTATCGTGTTTTTGTCATCATCCAATTTCTTTTATTTTTTTTTTATATGCATATGTACATATATATATTTTTTTTAGTCAAAATTTTTAACCCGTGCGTTATTCACTTACCGCATCCATTTCGAAGTAAACGAGTTCTCTTCCCGAAAGCGTGATCACTACTTGGCGCTGATTTACCGCACATTTTGTAATTGATTTCTTGCCAGGGGCTTTCCATTCATTCACACGCTTATCGGAGCGTATATGACGAATACCATCGGGATATACTTGAACCAACGCATCATCACCCAAAGAGGAACAGCTCAAAGTTGGAGTGGTACCAAGGAAACCGCTATCTGTTACTTCCTCCACGGTCTCCCCAATGCTCAAAACCAATGTAGCATTCACAAATGAGACTATGATATAAGCGTCAAATTCGTCTGCAAGAGATAATTCGAAAAATTCGAAACGCATACTGAGAATTTGTGTGCCATACATAGGAATATTTAACTTTAAAATAGATAAGAATATACTATTTGTCGACAATGAATAATCAGATAATCTTAAAAGTTTAATCAAAGTAATTCAGTTGAAACACGGAAAAGTAACATCATGTATTCATTGCCAACAATTTCTTTTATTATCGCTTTGTTTAGTATCTGTTGTATTTTCGTATCAGCTTCAAGCTTACACTGATTCGAGATCAGTTGTTTTGAAAAATGTTGCCTTACCTATATTTGTGTTGCTATTTACTACAATTTAACTAATTGTACACATGCTCAGTAATATATTTGACATGTGTATATAATTAAATCATTTCAGTTAAATTTTATGCACAAGTAACTCGACAATCACGCCGACCGGCACAAAACAATGCAAGAGTTAACCGCCTGAAATAGAAGAGAACTGGTGTTTGATTTTTATGTTCTTCTAATTAGGTTCCTTTGCATTTAGGACTAAAGCTTTTTAGGTTCTGGTTATGATATAAAGGATAGGGATGTGTGAATTAGGGAAAGGATATGACAGTTTACACGTACATAAGCATCAAAGACACCAGTTTACATTAAAAATACTGACAAATATAGGCAAAATACAAGCAATACGCACAGCGTACGCGCATTTAACTTGCATTTTTAAGTCACATTCCTTAAGGTACAGTATAATATAATAAATATGCATTCGCACTAACCGTCAATACGTTTCTTAACAGTCCATACAGCGTTAGGATTGCCCGGCAATTCCGATACAGCCATTTCACTAACTTCTAAGCCATGTCGCAAGACACGCAACGATGAGCGTGGACCTCTGCCGCATAGCACATAAAGTTGTGGCGTATCCTCGTTGGCCAAATCGGCAACTTGCGATGAAATTATAGGAGCAAAAGAAGGCATTTCATCGACCATAACGAGATTTTTAAGGGGTCGTGGGGCAAAAAAGAAAGTTTCGCCTTCTTCGAGTGGCATAGCCGAGCTGAATTCTGGCTCGTCGTCATCATCGCCGAGATGCGCAATTTGATAGAGATAACTACAAATACAAGAATGGGCACTTGAAATAAATTTCAAACCTCAAAACGGTTTTTTTTTTTTACTTACTGGTTGCCAAATTCACATGCTACAAAGAGGAAACCCGTCTTCAAAACACACATTGAAATAGCGGGTGGTACCGTATCAAAATATTTGAGTTTGATCTCAGATACAACATCGTCATCTGTCTCAAGCGTAACTTTAAATATGTCACCCTGTTCGGTCTGTACCAAGAAGAAATACATGCTCTTTGTGCGATGTGTGGCCGAACAAATGAATATCATGCCACGATCAGGATCATCCAAATCGTTACGACGACGTGGTATGGGACAACGAATATCATGCTGATCACCCAAATTTTTATATGTAAGATAATTTTCTGAGCAAATCAAAACACCAGAGGGACCATCATTGCCTCCAGGTACAGAAATCAAAAAGTTTGCATGTTCCTCAAGTGGTTCCGAATACTTGCGCACCACGTGATTGAGACCGAGATCTAGTTCATAGAATGTCAATGTTTGTTGCGTGCGTTGTGCAGCTTCGCCTGTAATTAAAACAATTTAATCACACTTTAGAAATATATTCACCAAATTACTTTTCATAACAATTATAATAATGGCTTCTTGTAAACATCATATCAGTGAAGTAATTGCGTTTAATTTTATGCAAGTACCAATGGTTCAGATGCTAATTATTTTTATAGCACTTTGCCAAGCCAGTTAAGTTTTGTTGATCTCACTTAGCTGGCATGTCTTAAAAGTGCGGACAACATACTAGTGGGGATTTGATTTACATAGAAAATAATTTTTATTAAAACTGTTGACGACATATCAGTGAAGTATTTGCAAAAAAATATGATACAAATACCAATGGTTCAGAAGCCATATTTTTTTTAGCACTTTGCCTGGCCAATTGAGACGTATTTAATCTTCTCAGCTGGCATGTCTAAAAAGTGCAGTATCAAATAAAATTATTCCTAGAATTAAATAATACTAACCTGTTGGATCATTATCTGCTTCTTCGTAATCGATTTCCAAACATGCGAATAATGGGTTATCAAAACCGACATCAACTCCAACCATATGATAAGTGAGCGTATTGGATTTATGTGCTTCTAAAGGAGAAGATATTGTGAGACGCGCCTGTGTGTCACGATTAAGTATGTAAGCCAACTTTTGTTTCTCAACAGCACCAATCATTACTGCACGGCCTTTAGGATCGATGGCAAAATATTGGCCTGGTACAATTCGTCGACAGCCTGATTTGCCAAATGTTTCTTGATGGACTTTTTCAAGAGAATTTTTGGTTGGATTGTACTCAAGAATCACAATACGACCAGAATCAGAGCCAACGACTATATAATCTATTTGACAAAAATATTGCTTGTTAATAAGATATTCATTAACAATTTTTAGTTGTTTCTCAGAGTTTCAGTTCAATATGGCACAGAGCCATATCAAATGCGACGCCGAGTTATTTGCTTTTGCACTTAGACGGTTATTAAAGTCTTATTGAAGTATTCAATTATGTGTGAATCTTCGATAGGGATTTGTGCTACATAATTGTATTTAAAATAGTTTCGGACTTACCCTTAGTGCCACCAGTCAGTCTGAAAGACATCAAAGCACGTATGCACCCAAAGACCTCCACGGACAAAACAGTGTGCACTTTGCCCGTATTTGAATCTGGACGTACTAACTCAAGTGATTTGCCACGTGAAAGTATTACCTCCTGCTGCTTTCCACCAGAGAAGTTTCCATGCACGGCATGTGTAATGCCAGTGCTTTTTTGTAAGGTCAAATTGTATAAATACATTTTGTATCAATTCACCTACAAGCAAAAGAAAAATTTGAGGTTAGGACAACATGCAAGAATTCCTCACTATACGGTCCTAGTTGTTTCAATTGTCCTACTCTGGAATACCATGGTTACAGTATGAGAATTCGGTGTAACCTAACGATGCAAATGAGTAGCAATTTTTTTTAATTTAGCACGTTAAAAATTGCGACCAAAGCGCGGACGTTTCCGTGTCTCTGGAGATACATCGTGCAAAAAATTAACTTTGCTAAAATACTGGATCATTCGCTTAGATCGCTTACTAATATATTACCTTTCGTTCTTATTCCCAAAATTGTTCATCGTTTTGATATGGATGTGAAAAGATTTATCTGGAGTACAGCCAGCTAATGGCCATCTTGTTAAATTTTACACGGAAGAAATTCCGAAAGCACAGAAACAGACCTTCTCCATTGACGGACGAAATTGAAATGAACGAAAAACCGGCCAAAGAGGACAATGAAAAGGATGATTATGAAGTTGGCTGCTATTTTTAGAGTTGCCTACAACGAAATAAAATTTTAATTAGGGTTGTATTTGCGTCAATCCTGAGAGTACAACTCCTTGAACGAAAGACACAAGATTTTTTGGTTCTGGTACAATTCCACGACGAGCATTTCGGGCGCTTGGCACTTTACAGGCTTTCACAATAACTGAATTGTGTAGCTGAATGCCACGAGGCAGCGAACAAAGGTGGCGCCGTCCGACATACCACTAATTTGGTTTTACCGATTTTGACAATTTCGGTCTCCAATAAAAAACGACGCCTCAGAAACTTCAAATGCTCTGAAATTCACTAAAGGCCCGTTTACATACAACTTTGGCGTTGCGTTGGCGTTGGCGTTGGTTTGACAGAACGCACGTTAAAAGTATGCTTGCTACAATGAACGCTTGGCGGCGAATCCTTGGGCCACTAAATTAACATATTAACGACAGATAAATTAATATTTCATATCAATAATTGCATTAAAAACGATATTTCTTGCCCGCACTTGATTAAAAAGGAAAAATATTTCACATAATTTTATTTATTCGCAACAGCTGACGAGCGACGCACGCGAAAAGTTGAGAGTTGGCCATCTTTTTGCTTTGTGTTGGCGTGAGCGTTGTCGAATTTTGGCTATGTGGACGGCTGCATTTGAATTCATGTATTCATAGTCAGCTGTTGAAGCGACGCCAACGCCAACGCAACGCCAAAGTTCTATGTAAACGGGCCTTAACACTTTCACACAAATCACATTTTTTCACATTTTCATTATTAATTCTTGCTGTAAATATATATTTTTACGATTTAGCACAATTAAAACGAGTTGGAGGGCATTACGTCAAAATTATGTGATTGCTGTAACTCCTACCAATGACAGTATGGATATCTGCGTATAATTTGTTAGTGTAATTTTTTACTTATATACGGCTATCAACACCTTGTTAAATACGCCATAATAATAAATGTCATCGCCGCCAATTCTGTGTTCAATCATTCTGCGTTGAATGCCTGAAAAGCTTGTTGTGGATTTGTTCTCTGAGATTTGTGCGTGGAATTTCTGAAAGTACACTTCGTACATTTGTTGCAAGAGTGTCACAATAAAAAAAAATAATAATAAAAAATAGATTTAAGTATGCCAAAATGACCGCCACATGTTCGTATACAAATCCGTCGCGTCTGTTGCGTATACAAATTTCATAGCTAGACCGATTACCAGTAGGTCACTAGAATAAAATATGTTTTTATTTTTACTATGGCAGTATATGTACATTCAAAACTTTAAACCTGTTTTTCTCCAGTGTTTTATTTTTATTTGTGGTCTATTATAAAGGAATTCATAAAAACTAAAATTGTGTAAAATTGTGTTTTACTGAAATATTTTGGCGTTAGCTGCCGATTTTTTGGGTTAATTCAAAAAAATGCAACACTGCATCTACGAAACGGTTCTTCTTCAACGGCCAGGGCTGCCATCTTCACTCAAACCGTGCGGTTTTTTGGCCCTATTTTACTTCAAATGGCACTTAATTTTACAATTTGGCATAAAGTGCCAAAACGGCACTTTTAAAAAATTGTAATATTGCAAAAAATGTTTGTTAAATCCTTTGCGGGAATTTCTTTTCTCATCTAAAACTATCTACACCTTTTTGGCACCTTTATTCTTCTATTTGGCACATTTTAACACTTTTTTATACTCAATATCGCACTTCATTGCTAGGTATAGCTGGCAGCCCTGTCAACGGCATGCCGCTTTCATTCCAAAACAAAAACAATCATCTTATTTTTGCTAATTTCAAATAATTCACAAAATGAGTGCTCCTTCGTTAAAGAAACAAAAGTTCTCGCATTACAAGCAAAAGAACTATTTTAAGCCAAGCAAGCGACAGTTCCTAGAAGTAGGGCAGCGTGGGTTTTTAGCCACCTGTAACTTCCGCGAGAGGGACTGTGTACGTGAAGCTTATAACGTACTTAACCAATATGCGGACGAGCTATATGGTCCAAATGCAAAGGAAGGAATTCCAACGTCCGCCTTGGACAAGGATGTGGAGTCAGAGGAAGTTGGTGATATAGCAGATGACCTACAGAAAGAAATCGACGCCTCAAAAGCATCCAAGCAAAATGCCAAGGGTGCTGTTAAACAACGTTTCCAAGCAGTAGATACTGGAGCCACAAATTGTCTATTTATTCGCACCACACTGCCCGATCCGGTAGAACTGGGAGCACGTATTATCAACGATATTGCAGACACACGTGAACAAAAAACACGCTTTTTGCTAAGGCTTGTACCTGTGGAAATGGTCTGCCGCGCCAATTTAGCAGATATCACTAGCACCGGCGGTGAACTTTTTGATAAGTATTTTCTCAAAGATGGAACTACATTTGCAATTGTCTTTAATAAGCGTTACAACAATGATGTAAAACGTGAAGATGTTATTCATGAGCTGGCAGCGTTGGTGCAATCGAAGAATATAAAAAATCGTGTGGACTTGAAACAAGCGGAAAAAACTATAGTAGTTGAGGTGATTAAGGGATTATGCTGCCTTAGCGTTTTGGATGGCTACTTGAAGTATAAAAAATATAACTTAGTGGAGTTGGCAAATGTTAAAGAAAATGATACTACTGACGTTAAAAACGGGGAAGAAACAGACCAAGCAGTTTCAGATGTTGTTGAAGTAAATGAAGACAATGAAAATGGTAAAAACGGTATCCTGGCGGAGGAAACACAGGAAGACAAAGAGGCAGCGCCCGAATGAATTACATTAAATTAAATGTCTTAAGATATACATATGTACCTACATATAGTATATATTTTTTCCAGCTAGGCTAATATATTGATTTGTGAAATCTAGTGTCTGTGAGTCTCAAACCCTTTTAACTCAACAGAAGTACATTATAAAACGTATTCATACGTACACAAATTATTACCATATTTTAGGATCAAACTTTATTAGATAACAAAAATTATATTTACTAATCACACCCAGATAAAACTATTTTGGAAATGGATCTGTATAATAGGACACCCATATTATAAATCAAAAAATCTACTTGAGCACAGTAGTTGGCGGTTTCTTCAACAAAACACCAACAGTAGATACAATTTTCTCATAGGCCATAAACATAAGGGCTGCAGTCAGCACTGTTTGTAATATTTTTGCTTCCAAACCACGGAAAAGTCCCTTAAATCCTTGATGCTTCAATATGCTTAACATTATTTCCACCATGCTGGCATCACTTGACGTATGCTTTGTTGTAGACGATTGATTTGTGCGATGGCGTTGTTTTGTCTGTACTAACTGTAGCGGATAAGTAAGAACTGTAGCAAATGCTTTGGCAAGGGCACCAATCCCAAAGAAACCTAAACTCGAAATATCAGTGGCTGTGAACTTCATCAGATTTCGTTTCAACAGTTCATACATCATAAATTGCAATGCAGGATTAGAGACGAGTATTAGCGACGGTATAGTACCAGACCATAAACCACGAATTCCTTCAGTTTTAGCAACATAAATTAGTCCACCGATCAAGCTTTTATAATATTTGTTAACATCATCTGATGTACCAGCTACATTACGCATTCGAACGCGCGTGTTTACAACCCAAAATGGAGTGGTGCATAACACGTTTAGAATGCCGGCAATTGAACCCAAGAAAAGATCTCTTAATGCAGATTGCTGCTTGCCATCGGCAGATAGGGCCTTCAAACTGCGAATGGAAAAATATGTTTAATTGTTAAAAGATCTGGTTATAAATAAAAAAAAACACACCTGTGAAATGTATAGAAATATACAAAGTTAGAAATGCACAAACTTTGGAGCACCGGGCCCAAACCGCGATACAATGCTTGAAAGCCCTCGCCGAGTACTATCTCCTTAATAACTTGTGTGGGGCTTCGCGCCGCACCAATTTTGTCCGGATCTTCCACTGAAATCATTCAACGAAATTTTATACTGATTTTTATATGTAGAAAGGAATTTTGAAATTACATAAATGCATACACACCTAAATATATGTATGTACATTTGTACATATAAAAAAGCAAACAAAAGAAATTTAAAAAATTTCGCATGCAAATTTATACCGCTTATTTTTTTTATATAACGCTCACACAATAGAGCAAAGTCCATCATCTCATTAATCAATTTAACTTACGCTGTAGTCGGGAGCGCACCGTGTCAAGTGGGTAAAATGTGCTCATAGCAATGCAACCGCCCTAGAATTAAAATACAGGTATAGAATAAAAAGTCATCTTATCTTCTTCCTGACTATAAAAATAAACACCTACCGCAGCTCCTGACACGGCGTGTACCCAAGATCGGTAATTAAATACTTGGCTCAACTTAGATTGGGCAACCATTTTGGTCAAACTGCAACTCGTTCTCCTAGGTTGGACTTTGGTCAATGTTTGAAGTGCTTATCCACAAATTAATCAGTATTATGCAGAACCGAAATTTTTCCTGTTCAAATTGCTGTGCAAGTTAGCACCATCGGGTTTCGCCAATGCTACACGCTCCGCATAGACACCTTTGGCAAGTTTTGCCACCAACTGCAAAAATTAAATATTACTATTTTAATCGTATTATTTTGTTTAGATTCTACTTGCTATTACTAAAATTAGCGGTTGTTGTTGTTGTAGCAGCATACAAGTTCCCCAAAGAGTTTATGGGAAGTGGTGCTGGAGTCCTTTGCCGAATATAAATTTGGGTTGTTCCGGTTACGTAGACCAGGCTGTCGTGGGAACGTAAAAATAGCGATAATAGCCAATGATTCAAATAGCTCCCGCTTATTAAACAATTGCAGCTCTTGTTGATTTATTTGACTCAGAAAGAGGAAATAAACAGACGTAAACACAAAAACCGGATTTTTCGCGTTTTGCGTTTTATTGCCGGTCTTTATTAGGGTTGCTTTGTGTTGGGAACTTCCAAACATCAGAGTTGCAACTATTAGTACATTTGGTTTATTTTTCGTTTGTTCCAGTACTCTAGGTTTTATTCAGAAATAATCATTTTCGCCCTAAATCGTTTTTTTCGCTTCCGTGTATTCACTATGGGTGTATGGAAAGATTCGAGCCATTTTTTTTTGGGCGAAGAGGCTGATTGTAAATTCAAGTTCTGGAGCGAGGTGGAGCGAGGGGAGAAGTTTAAGTTCTTTCCTTGACGACGGCATTTTGAAACTAAAATTGACTATGAAGTTGGGTGCAGCTTACGTCACAGCTGTCAATTCAAATGAATTTTGACAAGCAGTATGTGTGATCAACTTGAAAGTCGTTCCCACGAAAGCCGTTTCTACACATCGAAATGACTCGGGTTATACCCGACCAAGTGGGGCAACAACTGCTCCGCATTCTTCTGCTTAAGGCTGGCATCGGGTCAATCCCTCGACCAGAAACCTACAGAGACGATTACACCAAAACTCCACTTCAGTCAGCGGCATTACCTGCAACGGATGGAGTTACCTTAGAACCTGATCAGGCCTTAGAAGTCACTGACAGTAGACAACGACTTTTGTGACCCCCTGACACGACTGCCTCAGTGAAACACAACACACACCACCTACAGGTCCCACAAAATACCCAGGCTGCTTCCACGGCTCACTGGAGTTCACCTAAACAACGCTACCCCGACACGACCACCTTCCAACATAACACAACCACAACTCCACCAACACGCTACCCACGAGCGAGGACAAGCCAACAGCTCCTAGTTCTTCACACATTTTGTTCGGTGTGGCAGCAGGATTATGGGCATTTGCAGCAGCTCGCCTGGCATAACAACTCTAAGTATATAAGTAAGAATTGATGACCTGTGTTCGAAAACAAACAGTTACCTCTCCGAACTATCTATCGCTTTTTCACGACAAGGAGCCTAACTCTCTCCCCTGCGAAATCCTCGAAAACCCGTTGCACCTGGACGAAAGAGATCAGATTGTAAACAACTCCAAAATGCACGAAGTTACCTTCGACAGACTGCTCTTTCTCTCGGCGCTAAAGCGGTCGTCGGTTAACCGCTGTCAAAATTAAAACATACAAAGGCATATGGAATGGCTTATAATTGCGGCGGCAGCGTTTTCACCGTATACGTTTTTCGGTTGATTTTAATTTATTTATTATTTATTTTAACTGCCCAGCACGGTGATTGAGATTTTTATAATTCTCACAAGTTTGGCAATGTTTTCATCCATTTTTATTTCCAGCAAATCTATGAGAATAGAGAAGCTGATTAGGCCATGTGTGCCTGCCCGTCCGTCCGTCCGTATACACGATAACTCGAGCAACAAGTTGAGATCTTTCAACGAAATTTAGTATGTAGGTTGTCCTTTATCCAAGGGGCTGTAACCACGCCCACATCCCATATAACGGTATTTTCGAAAAATGCAAAAACTACGATAATATAATTTTGGTACAAATTAATGAATGAAATGAAATTTTTGGAAAATTGGCGTGGCCGCGCCCACTTATGATGAAATGCTGTATCTCAGTAGCCGTTTCACCAATCCTTACCAAACTCGGTACAAGACTTGCCACCATATAACGGTACTACGATAAATCGGTAACTACTGAATTTAATTTCCTTAGAATCGATTATTGCAATAACCATTAAGCAGAAAATTTGGTTATTATAAATTGTTTGATAGTGGGTGTGGCGCCGCCCCCTTATGACCACAAATGTGTATTTCGGTAACCGATTTATCAATTTCTACCAAACTCGCTGCTTTTAATAACCTTGGTACAGAAAAGCAATTCGTTGAAAATTATTCAAATCGGACTAAGATTATACCCGCCTCCCGTATAACGGTAAATTTCAGAAATACGAGAACTCCGATATTTTAATAACTGAGGTCGCTAATTTACTCCAAGTTAATAGTTACAAAAATCACTTAACAATAAATAAGACTGCTATAGACTTTTAGTAACTGGGCGTGGCACCGCCCACTTATGGCTACAAAGGTGCATGTTCTCGATAACCACTTTATCGATTTCTAACAAACTTGGTTCAATTATATCATTACGTCTAACTCAGCATATTATCGAAAACGTTTGAAATCGGGAAAAACACCCCTGCTTATCATGCAAAGGCAGTTTAGAGAAAGTTACATACCTATGCCGGGTATAGGTTTCATCCGAACTTATACTTTTTTATGTGTTTTAATTTAAATTTCTTTCCTTTTCTATTTTAATTTTCGCTTAATTTTTAGATTTTATGTTCTAAGAAGACAAATATATGGTTTTATAATTTAATTTAAAATTTTGAAACTTATTCTATGTATTTTTTCTTTTTTATTTAAATTTTTTCTTTCTTAATTTTATTTTCTTTTAATGTTTAGATCTTATTGTTTTAAAAATAAAAATATTTTTTTTAATTTAGTTTGATTTTTAGAAACCAATTTTTTATTTACTTTTTAATAAATTTTTTTTCTTTTTTTATTTTCTAAATTTAGAGTTTAAAAGAATGATTTTTTTTAAATTTCATTTATTTTTTGAAAGTTATTTTCCCTTTTTTAATTTAATTTGCTTTTCTTTGTTAATTCTTATTGTTTTAAAAGGAAAAATATATTGGTTTTATTTAAATAAAATTTTTCTCTTAATTAATTAAATTTTCAGATTTTGTTTTAAAAATATAAATACATAAAATTTTTTTCTTTTTCTAGTTTAAATTTTACATTTTACTGTTTTCAAAAGAAAAAATACTTTTTTAATAAAATTTTTTTTTTTTCCATTTACTGAGGAGAATTTAAAACTAAATATTTATTCAACGGACAGCTGATAGCCTCTGATGCTAGTGCTGCATGATTAGGTTGTACATATGTTAATAACATTGTATAAGCTTTAATAAAAAAAATAAAAAATAA